GGGGTCGCTCCGTGACCGGCGCGGTTTTCACAGGCACCTTTGCTGTGTTTGTTTCTCTCTCTCTCTCTCCCCCCCCTCCTCAGAGTGCCATTAAGGGGAAATTGCAAGAATTAGGAGCTTACGTGGGTAAGTTGCTTCTTGTCATTCGCCTAAATGTACTTGGAGGGCTTGCAGCCGACTGGACGTGTCTCTGTGAGTCTGCCCAAAGCTCGTAGGGTGGTCTGCCTTGAAGTCGAATATTCATTCCCCTGGTTTCCTGGACCCTCGGTCTCATTGATCCGTCTATAGCAGCCCCCAGAGCCATACCCCATACCCCATACCCCATGTCCTGTCCAAAGCGTTAATTTTGAAATAGTCTAGCTTTTTCTTCGGCCGAGGCTGTCGTTTTTCAACCCATGATGTTTGTCTGAATCTTGTTCTGTTTCGTCCTGACCTTTAATTTCAGATCTATCATTTTAAATATGAACGTGTGATGCTTCTGGCATTTGCCACAGAGCTGGTTCAGTGAGTTTTATGTTTCAGATTTTTTTTTTTTTAATTTTTATTTTTTTATGTTCTTCCTACTCGAACCTGACAGCTCTTTTCTTAAAACGAGTGTTTACTTTGGGCTAGGCGGTGTTTAGCTATTACGTATATACAATAAAAACCACCACTAAATGTAAGTGATAACGTCCCCAGTTGTACAAATAGAAATAAAGGCTTTGGATACTTGAGCAGGGTTGTGGGAAGAGGCCTGGTCTGACTTCACAGCTGGTAACTTCAAGTGTCAATCATGGTAGCTTAGGTGTCTGAGACCCATACTGACCTGTGGAGTCAAAATTGTTTTCATACTAGTTAGGCTTGGTTTTGGACAATGTTTACATTTGGATTATATGAAAGCAGTGGTCAGAAAACTAAGGGTTTTTTTTTGTTTTGTTTTGTTTTTGGTTTTTTTCGAGACAGGGTTTCGAAAGGCGTGCCCCACCACCGCCCAGCCAGAAAACTAAGTTTAAAAGGTAGTCACACCAGATTTTCCTAGAACTCTTAGTCAAATTTCTTCTTGTATTAAAAAAAAAAAAACAAAAAACAAAAAAACAAAGCCAGCTCCATTTAGAATGTTATCAGTGAAATAGTTAATATAATGTTTTTAAAACTGGCTTCGCAGCTGGGAGGTGGTGGCACAGAACTTTAATCCCAGCACTCAAGAGGGAGGCAGAGGCAGAGGCAGGCAGATCTCTGAGTTCGATGCTAGCCTGATCTACAGAGTGAGTTCCAGGACAGCCGTCTTTTTAGTATTTTGATTGTGAGGACATAGAAGTGCTTGGAAAGCAGTGGTACACTGAGCTGATGTGACTGTTTTGGGAAAAGGCATTAGTGATTTTGAACTAAGATTGTCACTTGTGCTGGCATGTCAGCTTGACACAAGCTAGAGTCATTCAGAAAGAGGAGCACTCGGTTGAGAAAATGCCACTACCAGATTGGCTTGTGGACAAGGCTGTGGGGCATTTTCTTGATTTGTGTGGGAGGGCCCAGTTTACTGTGGGTGGTGTCACCCCTGGTCTGGTGATCCTGGGTGCTTTAAAGAAAAGCAGGCAGAAAGCCAGGCGTTGGTGGCACATGCCTTTAATACTAGCTCTCACCTTTAATCCCAGCGCTTGGGAGGCAGAGGGAGATGGATCTCTGTGAGTTAGAGGCCAGCCAGGGCTCCAGAGTGAGTTCCAGGACAGCCAGGGTTACAAAGAGAAACCCTGTCTCAGAAAACTTAAAAGAAAGCAAGCCGGCAGAGCAAGCCAGGAAGCAGCACTCCTGCATGGCTTCTGCATCAGCTCCTGCCTCCAGGTTTATAGCTGGAAGCTTTCCTGTGTCCCCACAGCCGCTTATAAAATAATCACTCAGGAGCTTATATTAATTACCAACTGTATGGCCTATGGCAGGCTTCTTGCTAGCTAGCTCTTTCATCTTAAACTTACCCATTTCTATTAATTTGTGTATCCCACATGTTCTTTGGCTTTACCCGCATCCCATTACATGTTGCTCCTTGGACGGCAGTTTGACGTCTGCCCCCACTCTCCTTTCTCCTCTCCCTATCTTTCTTGGATTTTCCCACCTGGCTCCATCCTGCCCTGCCATAGGCCAATGAAGCTTTATTTATCAACCAATCAGCAACACATATTCACAGCATACAGAAAGATATCCCACAGCACAGGTTCCTGCCTTGAGTTCCTGCCCTGACATCCCTGGATGATAGACCGTAAGCTGTAAGATGAAATAAACACTCTACTCACCAAGTACCTTTTGGTCACAGTGTTTTATCACAGAAGTGGAAGCTTTTTTACCTTCTAAGAAGTGATAAACTGGTTTTGTGCACTTAGGTATTCAATAGGCATGAAAAAAGCCAGTCATTTTTATTGCCATTGACAAGCTGAACCTTAAATGAAAATTAAACTTTGACCTCTGTGAACTGAAAGATTTTGTGGTGAAATTACGGAGGTACTACAGTGTGGCATCATATAATGAAATGTATCAGCATGTCCTTGGTTCACCAGCTCAATGACCTAGTATTTCCAAGTGACCACTACACGTTACTGAATTATGCAAAAGTTAAAGGATGTATAGGTGGATTTTCTTGTAACAGTACAAAGAGGTAATTGGTGGTGTATTAGATTCTATATTGCTAATAAATTGTCACTTGAGTTTTAGTGTGGTGTCACAGAAGGGTATCCATGAGATCTAAGAAAGGTTATTAAAATACTTGAAGTACATCTTAGTAGGACTAGATTTTCTTGACATTCACCAACGTTAAACAGCTTGACCACAGATTAGATGCAAGAAACAGAGATTAGAATTCATTTATCTTTTATACCAGATACAAAAGAGATTTATGGAAGTAGAAGGTAAGGCCGTCCTTAGAGCTATTATGCTTTTTGTTTCTCAAAAAACTATTAATATAATTGAGCTACTAGCATATAATTGATATATTAATAATTATATCCTTTAAAAATTCTCCATCTTAAATTCATATGGTTAATATTAGTAGATACAATTCACATCAGCCAGAGAAGGACCCTGAGACTGAACAGGCTAAGAATGAGTAGTTTATGAATTCCACTTGATTGTTGGATTTCAGGTTTGTTTCCAGATTGTTGTAAGACTCCCCGTGGGTATGAAAGATGAAGGTGGACCTGGATCTTCTTAGGTTCCTTGTTTTTCTCATTGAACGTGTAATGGGGCCAGCTGTGAGGAATTTGCTGCACATGTGGAACTGTTAGTAAATGGTGGTGGGAGGCACAAGCGCCTGTTCACTGAGATCAGTTCATTGCTGTCACTTATCAGAAATTCCAAACCACTTGTTGTAGTTTTTTAAAACAAGACCTTACAGTTGCATTTGTTTCTGAAATACTGCTGAATTGGAGCGGCAGCATTGCTCTGGGAGAGCGCTGCACTAGGCCTACCAATAGCAGAGTGAGGGTCGGGGCTCCGGGTTGGGGTTCCTTTGTGCTTCTGTTGTGTTAACTGTATAAAAACGACTTAAGGGAAGCATGGGTGGTCCCGCCTTCCCTCCTTCCTCCTTTCTTGAACCTAGCACCCCATAAACTCTAACACTATTATAACTTCAGAATTGGAAATTCCTTAAAGCAGTTTCATGATGGGTTCTAGCAGAGAGCCTGGTGTTTATATCTGTCAGTTAACAGAAGTCATCTTCCAATTCTTTGAAATAAAACAAGGTCTTTTTTATGTTTGCAGTTAGTTACCATATTATTTGTAGATGTATATACCTCACTGTCCAGAACAGGGTGGCTTTTGTTTTCTTTGAGGTAGGATCTCAGACTGTGTAGCTCAGGCTGGCTTGCCACCCATGATACAGCTTGTGCCAGCCTCAAACTGATCCTCCTGATTCAGTTTCCTAGGTGCTGGGGTTACAGTCATATCCCACTACTCGTCCCAGCTTCTCATATTTCTTTAGACCTAAAAAGAGTCTCAGAGCTCTGGAAGGTTATAAAAACAGTTGTTCAGTAATTATTTGAGTATTTATTTTTCAAAGTATTGGGTGGGGTACAAAGAAGAGCCACCATTCTTCAAAGCAAGCAGAAAAGGTTTCCTCTATGCTTACATGGAACAGGTCATTTGTGCAGCAGTGACAGTCCAGGTTTTTTTTTTTTTTCTTTTTTAAAATTTTATTATTCATTTTACATACCAATCACAGATTTCCCCTCTCTTCCCTCCTCTCATCCCCCACCCCCTCTTCTGAAAAGGTAAGGCCTCCCATGAGGAGTCAGCAGATCCTGGTACATTCAGTTGAGGCAGGTCCAAGCCCCTCTCCCCGCATCAAGGTTGTTCAAGGTGTCCCACCGTAGGTAATGGGCTCCAAAACGCCAGCTCATGCACCAGGCATGGATCCTGATAAAAAAGGGGCCTCTTAAGCACATCAAGCTACACAACTGTCTCGATTATGCAGTGTCTAGTCCATTCCAATGCAGGCTCCACGGCTGTTGGTCTAAAGTTCACGAGTCCCCACTAGTTTGGCTTGGTTGTGTCTGTAGGTTTCCCCATCATGATCTTGATGCCCCTTGCTCATAGATCCCTCTTCCCTCTCCGACTGGATGAACTGTTCAGTTTTCATTTGCACCCTAGAGGTGAGAGCTTCTGTGTACTTTCCCAGCTTTGACTGCTGTCTTCTGTCCCCAGTATGCTAATTTAAGATGTATTTTAGAGGTCTGTCTGGACTGTGGAAGAATATTTTATGGTCACATGCTAATTTTGCATTAGATTCTTAATTTCCATTGCATTGTCTACTCAGAAAACATGAATTCTAAAGGCTTTGCTGAGAAATAATTGATAGTTTAAGTTGCACGTACTTCAAGTGTATGTATTTGTATATTTGCCATGTCTTGATAAGTATATATCTTAAAATCATCACTCATCAATATGATAAATCTACTGGACTGGGTATAGCTCATTGGAGACTACCAAACACTGCACAAGAGCCCATGATTGAATCCTAGCACCACTTTTAGGGGGGAAAAAAAAAAGAATGAATAGACTCATTAAGTCCTCTTCCCTTCCCAAATTTCCAGTAGCTCCTTTGGCTTTGTAACTGGTTCTAACACTTTTCCTTGTTCCCATTTTATACCGAGACAACCACTGATCCCATGAAATTTTAAAAAGTACAGATTGATACGGTGGCAAAGTAATTTCATTGGCACTAGGAAAGAAAAATAGCTGTCTGCCCAAGTATCTTTAGCAGTCTTACCTGTTTACACTGTCTGAGTCAGTAGTGTTGGATCATAGATATTTCATATACATAAAGATTAGCTTATTTATTACAATAGGGCTTTTTTTGATACATTCACAACACAGAAAGATTGGCCACTTTTTATTTATATTTCCTCCCTTATTGCATGTTCCCATAAAATACTACCTTCTCTTTTATCCTGCTTCTATACTGGAGTTTGGATGTTTTTCTTTTCTTTTTTTAAAAAATGGTTTATTTACTTATTACTTTATATGCATTGGTGTTTTGCCTGCATGTATGTCTATGTGAGGGTGTAGGATGCCCTGAAAGTGGAGTTACAGACAGTTGTGAGCTGCCATGGGGTGCTGGGAATTGAACCTGGGTCCTCTAGAAGAGCAGCTAGTGCCTCAACAGCTGAGCCATCTCTTCAGCACCTACTTGTTTTCCTTTGAAACAAGTGTCTGGCAGATGGACCTTTCTGTTTATGTGGAAATTATGAGTATTTTAGTTACTAAGGAAATTGTAATAAAGACATGTTTGAAGCTGTTTGTGGAGGTGTATGTCAGTCATCTCAGTATTTGAGAAGGCAGAGGGAAAAAGATCATGAGTTTTAAGACCCTCTCATGGGCCATATATATGGGGTGGGACAGCCAGAACACCTATTTTTTTTTTTTTTTTTCAAAAAGAAATTCGATTTCCTCACAATGACTTTGCTTCCTTATTGCTCTTGGGCTTTTTCCTGCAGTCATTAGGTAGGGTTGCCACTGGTGGATTAAAGAAGTTGAGTTGCCTTTGAACTTTTTTTCCTCCCTTTGGTATTAACAACAGTTCAACTCCCGGCATTGTATATACTGTAGGGTGCTGTGTAGTTTAGTGTATGTGCTGTTGGTAGAAGTTTAGTACATGGGGTAATTGAAGCCTACCTTTATGAGACTTTGGTCTAGTGAAACAAGTACAGAAAACTAAACAGAACACAATTGTTGGGGACGTATCTGTACCTTCCAGAAGTGTCTGAAGTTGATGAGCATTGAAAGGATTTCTTACAAAAACCAGTACATTCTCCCAATTGATTCTGTGACCCAGGATACCTAGTTTTATGACTAGAAATGCCACTTTTTTCCCCCCAATTCCTGGTCTTCTAATAATGGAAATAATTGTGGGATAAAGGGGAGAATTGGAAGCTGAGCTTTCTTGTCCATCCTATGTTAGAGTGAGGTTTTTAAGGACATTGATTTTGAGCAAAATCAAATATTGAGGAAACATTTAAAAGTTTGGTATACTTTTCCTTTTAAATAGATGAAGAACTTCCTGATTACATTATGGTGATGGTGGCCAACAAGAAAAGTCAGGACCAAATGACAGAGGACCTGTCCCTGTTTCTAGGGAACAACACAATTCGATTCACCGTATGGTATGTTTCTGAATATCTGTGCCTCAGAGCAAAGTCAGAATTGGTATTGTGTCCAGAAGGAACTTCTCTGCGGTCTTGAGAGCTTCACTGTGGAGAGGCGCTCTGAACTGTGCAGCACAAGCCTCTGGAGGTTTTCCCCTCTGTGAGTGGGAATAGGAAGTCACCTGCTGTCTGTACTTGTGAGGACAGCTTAGCTGCTACATCAGAGAGCTTGCAGATGTGCCTGCACCATAGGAGCCCTTGATGTATTTATTAGCCATTGCTGCCTCCTACACTTCATCATCCCTTCCTCTCACCTCCCCATCCTCTCTTTCCCCCTCACCACTCCCCACCCCCCAGCACAACCACTTAGAAACAGGGAACTCCGTAGTTTGAGCTAGGCTTGTTTTTGACTTTTATGGGGAAAACCTTTTTCTTTTGTTTTTGTTTTAAGCTTTTTTCTTTTCCTGACATGCATGTCCCCATTTGACAAACATCTCAGCCAACTTTCAAATAAGCAACTTTATTTTTTCACATAAAATCCTCATGATTTGAACTACCCTATATCAAATCACATGTGCCCTTAGTTGAGAGTGAGCATGAAATTCGGTTTAAGAAGGCCAGCTTCAGTTATCAGGCTTAACGCAGAGTGAGGATTAGAAAGGATAATGAGTGCTTGTCTCCTGACAGGTGGGAAATACTTGTAAAAGGACCACTGAAAGCTGAGGATGGAGCACAGCTGAGGGAGCACTTAGTCTGCTTCAGTTGAGTAGGAGGCATGATGGGAGATGGGCCTGTTCACCTCTTGATTCTTGAGGAAGAATGGCTTCACAGTAGTTTGGGCAGCTGTAGGCCTTGTGGATCTTAGGATGACACTTCTTTGAAAATCTGTGCAGAATTTTCTGCTTTATAGTGCACAGTTTTGGAACACATTATTAAGATCACCCTGATCCTTACAGTTAACACACTGCTTCATTATGGCTATGTACTCTGCTTAATATAGTTTGTTCTCAAATGGTCATGGTGTTTTTGACTGAGGAAATTATACTATGATTGTAATACTTTTTAAAAAAGATTTATTTATTATGTAGTCAGTGTTCTGTCTGCATGTATGCCTGCAGGCCAGAAGAGGGCACCAGATCTCATTGGGGGATGGTTGTGAGCTACCATGTGGTTGCTGGGAATTGAACTCAGGACCTCTGGAAGAGCAAGCAGTGCTCTTAACCACTGACGCATCTCTCCAGAAGTCATGAGTAGTTCAAGAACTTGTTTTGCTTCATAAGCATTATTGTGACCTGACCTTTGGTTAAACCTTTAGATCACTTGGAGTGTTCAGTCCAGCTTATCTAAGCTGGAAGACTGTTGTAGGTTCTTTTTCAGATGACTTAATGGACTGCTTAAGACAGATTTCGTAAACTAATATAGTGTTAACTCAGTGTGAATTTAAAATCAAAATCAGTTTCCCATCTTGCTGCAAATACAGTTTCATACCATGTCCTCGTTCGAGGAATTGTGTTTTCTCTTTGCTACTTTCATCAGTTCCCTAGTGTTCAACAGACTGTCCTGATTTTTAATTGGTTGTTTGCTTGTGTGTGTATGCATGTTTGCATATGTAGATACACGTGGATGTGCGCATGGGGATGTGTGTGTGTGTGTGTGTTTATATTTGTAGGCCTGAATTTGACGTTGGGTGTCTCACTGGATCACTATTTACTGAGGCAGGGTCTCTCACTGAACCCAGAGCTCGCCAGTTACTTTTAGTCCACCTGGACGGTTTGTCCCAGAGACCCCTGGTTCTGCCTTACAAGTGCTGGTGGTTTCCAACACCCAGCTTTTACGTGGGCTCTGGGAATCACCTTCAGGACTCCCAGCCCTGCTGTGGTGTTTTTTTTTTGTATTTCATTTTTGCTGTCAGTTTTATAGCTTTACACTAAGGTCTTTTTTTTTTTCTTATCCTATTTTTTTTTTTTAAATCCTGAAATAATTGTGTCCATGAGGAAACTAGTACGTGAATGGAGTCTAAATGAAACAATAGGAAACTTCTGGTGTTTGTGAGAGGATTTTGGAAGGATTGCTGTGCCAACATGCTTTCTATAAAAAACGGTTAAGATAGGCTATGTCAAAGCAAGGTTTTAAATAATAGTTGCAGTAAAATGGGATAGCATATTTATTAACTTTTTTTTTTTTTACCTCTCAGAATTACATTGTCCAAGAAACCATGTAAATAATTTAAATATTAACCACTGGATTAGAGTATTTATAGCTCAGTGGTAGAACATGTGCTTAGTGGAGCATGGTCCTTGGTTTAACCCTGTGGAGAGCGCGAGGGAGGAGGGCAGAAAGAAACATACACACACACACAGGTAAAACAGTTGTGACAAGCAGTATTCTATGTTTGGGATACTTGGTTGTTTTACTATTAGCTGTATTGGTCTTTAGTCCTTAGAAAGTAAGGTAACTTTTTTTATTTAAATCAAGACTTGTCAAATGATGTCTTTGTCTTTTTTCTTGGGTGCTGGGGGTTGTACCCAGGGCCTTGTGTGTGCTCTTAACATTCTGTTCTGGATCTGTTGACACCATGTAATCCTAGCTACCTGGGAGACTGAGGTAGGAGGTTCAAGCAACTTAGACCTGGTCTCAGAAAGTAAAAAGAGAGCTGTGGGTGCCGATCAGTAATATTAGAGTACTTGAATAGTGTGCATGAGGCTCTGGGTTACATTTCCAGGACTTGAGCTGCTCTGCTGCTAAGCTGTCTCCCCACTTCTATTGTAAGGCCTCTAGAGAAAAACTAATGTGTAATTGGAAAGTTCAGTTCAGTATTATTAAATGCCTTTAAAAGAACTAATCTGGATATAATGTCATCAGATTTACAGTGGCAATTGAAATAAAATTTTTATTAAGGGAGGTTTTGTTTTCCTTTTTTTTTTTAGGCTCCATGGTGTATTAGATAAACTTCGCTCTGTTACAACTGGTAAGATTTGTAAAATTGAGAGCTTTTTGAAACTTCTGCTTGTTAAACGTGTGATCCTTTCCTTTCTGAAGTCATTTATGCTGCTCTTGGAAGAACATCAGGCACTTTAAGAGGAATGGTTCATTTGAACTGTAAAAACATCACAGTATGTTTACTGTGATTTGACAGTGATGGGCCAGACAGTGCCGTGTATCTGAGGAAGTCATTATATATGTACACCAACTTTAACCTTAGAGATACCTCACTGCTTTATAATTGAAAGTGATCTAGAGTTACCTAATAAATCAGATAAACTAAATGATGTACAGGAATGCTACTTAGTGACTAAAAGTAATGTGGAATGAAATGAGAATACACAAATATCCTAGTATTTAAAATGTGGATACTCTTGGAAAATAATAATAATAAATTGTTATTTATTATTAGTAGTAATAATAAATATTATTTATATTGTTGAGACAGTTCTCCTTTAAGAATCCCGTGCCCACATTTTCAGGTGCTTTTTATCTCCTAGTGCTTAAAATCTCTTGATAAACGCCAGCTACTTTTCAAACTACCACCTTCGAGGAACGAGAGATGTAGCTCAACTGGTAGATTGCCTGCCTAGCATGCAAGAAGCTCTGAGTTCAGTCCCGAGCACTGAAACAATGAGGGAGGCATGGTGGTACATGCCTAGAATCCCTAACGCTGCAGAAGTGGAGGCAGGCGGATGGGAAGTTCAAAGTCATCCCTGGTGGTATATATAGTCAGCCTGGACTTCATAAGACCTGTTTTTGTTTGAAAAAAGAAAACTTGAGCTAAACGGTGGTGGGGCACACCTTTAATCCCAGCACTCAGGAGGCAGAGGCAGGTGGCTCTCTTTAAGTTCAAGGCCAGCCTGGTCTACAGAGCAAGTTCCAGGACAGCCAGAGTTATTACACAGAGAAACCCTATCTCAAACAAAACAAAACAAAAACAACAAACAAACAAAAACTGAAAAAGGAACACTTTGAGTTACTAATTTAAAAAAATCTTTTCTCTATTAAATGTATTGGTTTTGAATTGCTGATGAGAGGGAGGAGAGCTAAGAAAAAGATGACCAGGGTCATGCATTTTCTTTCCAGAGCCCTCTAGTCTAAAGTCTGCAGACACCAGCATCTTTGATAGTACCGTGCCTTCAAACAAGAGCAGCTTTAGTCGGGGAGATGAGCGAAGGCACGAAGCTGCAGTCCCTCCCCTTGCCGTTTCTAGCTCTAGGCCTGAGAAAAGAGATTCCAGAGTTTCTGCAAGTTCGCAGGAGCAGAAATCCACTAATGTCAGGTAAAGTCCAGTCTCTGCTATGGCCAGAGAGGCGTGGGGATGCGACACTTAAGTTAGTTCCCATTTTCAGCAGTTTTTGGAAATAGTGAGGTGATCATGGATTAGTTAATTTTCTTGTCATTTGTTGCTATTAGAAAATACCTGATGTGACATCTTGTATTTGGCTCAGAGTTCAGAAGGCTCTCAGTTCATCACAGCCATGGAAGCATGATAGAGTTTGGGGAAACAAAAGCATAAGAAAGAAATTCCTAGCACTATAGTGGACCAGGGAGCAAAGAAAACTAGACCAGAACAGCAAAAGTCTGTTCCTAGACACTAATGAACTATGTTGGCCAATTGGGCCCCACCTCCTAAAAGGATTTATAGCCTCTAAAGTAGTGTAGTGAACTAGGGATCTAGTATTTAACACTTGAGTGTGTATGGGACATTCCAGGTTCATTATTTCATTTTTATTTTATTTTTATGTGCATAGGTGTTTTGCCTGCATGTATGTCTGTGAATCCTGTACATGCCTGGTGCCTCTAGAGGTCAGGAGAAGGCATTGGATCCCTTTGCACAGGAGTTACAGATGGTTGTAAGCCAGTGTGGGTGCTGGGAATGGAACCCAGGTTCTCTGGAAGACCAGCTAGTGCTCTGGCCATTTCCCCAGCCCCTAACAGACTGCAAGCAAGTTTTTGAATAAATTAATGGTGACCAGAATATGATTTTTTATTTTAAATGTAGTAAATAAAAGTTTAAAGTATGAGGGCTAGGTATGGTGGTATAAGCATTAAATTTTTTTTTTATTAGATATGTATGGTGTTTTGCCTGTATGTGTGTCTGTGTACCATGCGCTTATAGCACCCATGGAGTCCTTTAGAGAGCTTTAGAACCTCTGCACCTGGAGTTACACATAGCTGTTAGTTGCAGTGTGGGTGCTGAGAATCAAACCTGGATCTGGAAGAGTGGCCAGTTCTCAGAATCCCTGAACCATACCTCCAGCCCTGGTGCAGACCTTTAATCCCAGCACCTGGCAGGTAGAGGCTGGTGGAAGGGTCTCAAGCCAGCCAGAGCTAAATAGTAAGAGCCTGGCTCAAAAGAAGAGAAAAAAATTACAGAATGAATAGGATTTAGAAATAGTTTTTAATATTAAAAAGTATCCATACTTTCTCATAAAAAGTTTGAGTAAACATTCTTTGAAGCTTTGAGGATAATGCTTTAGTTTTGTTGTAATGCTTTTATTTTGTTTTAATAGACATTCTTATGATGATGGAACTTCAACCCGGCTAATGTCAACAGTGAAACCTCTGAGGGAGCCAGCACCCTCTGAAGATGTGATTGATATCAA